TATTATTATTATTATTATTATAATTATGAATTTCGTTTAATAAACTGTCACGTTAAAAGAAATGTTCTGGACGAAAAAGATTGTGTACTGGACAGGCTGAAGGTTTTTTGTTTGTGTCACGTCATCCTTGAGGGACGCTGATTTGCGTTCAATTCCTACCCTCCACCCCCATCGAAACACCGTCTCCTTAATCTTCCTTAAAGTCGAAGGTGAGTCATGAAGGAATCCCTCATTTTCTACGAACTTGTACTCTTTCCCTTCTCTTGGAAAAAAATCATTGCTCCTTGTCGGGAATTTACAAGAGAAAATGGGGAAAGGGTTCTTTAAAAGGACCGTTCGATAAGTTGTTAATCTTCGTCTCTTTCTTGTATTAAAATTATACGAATCTACATTTAATTGTAATGGAAAATGTTTGTGCAATCAGTAGTGTAGGATCTTCCTCGAAAATCCTTTCCCCCTTTGTCTTCTACGACGTGTTATCGTTTCATTGTCTCGTGCGTTCGTTATATTTTTTCTCTCTTCTTTTTTGTGTTTAACGCCGACAATTGCAGAAACATGCCGTCCATTATGTTTTCAATGAAAAGAAATTGAAAATGCTTGCAAGGGGTGTAATAGATCCGTTGTTCTCGAAAATATAAGTTCCTTAACTCTCGAATGGCGATGGTCGACCGATTAAAGATCGAAATTTTTCATCAACGAGATGGAAATTATAACATTCATAAAATTGAGACTATTATTTAGAGTCATAGGTTGAGTCAGCAAAGATTCGACCTCGCCATTGGTGAGTTAAGCTTGTTGCGTTTGAGATTGATAGAGAAAGGAATTCGTTTTTGCATTATCTTGTTGCGGTAGTTTGCTTTTTGCACGTTTCGCGAGTCACATGGGGGTTTTTGTGGTTAACGGTGGAAACCACCGTGAATGTAAAACAATGTTAAATCGTTGGCGGCTGCGGCACACCTGTGTGGAAAGTGTCAGGTGGTAAGCGTTAATTCTTCGTTGATTCCTTTTGTTTTAATAGAGCGTTGAATTAGCGAGGAACTTTGAAATTTCTCTTTGGAAGTTAAATCCTTTTTATGCCATTATAATACTTTTATAAAAATCCTAATTGCGATGCTGTGAAACGTACTCGATTTTCGAATATTATATTATGTTTTAGTTCTAATGTAGATAGAATAAAAATGGAATTTGATTAGACAGCGTAGCCAAATTTTCTGTTTTATTTTTCAAGAAATTTTATCGGTTGAGAACTTTTTGTAACGAACAGATCCTGTCGCTCCTCGCTTGTAATCAGTTCCTTTGGGAAATTAAATCTGGCAACGAAATAAAGGCAGATTAAAAGTACGAGTCCTTTGAAAAATACATAAATCACTGTTCGAAAGAACTTAATCGCAATGAAGCTTCGAGATCGGACTGCTTTTATTTGCAAAGGCTTGAAGTTCGTTTTCATCGCCAAGATCATTCTATCCTATTCTGTTTTTTTTGAGATAACCGTTAATTACTAGAAAGGCTAGTATCAAGTGACGAATGTAGAAAGTTGGTTTGTTCTTTTCTTCTTTGCCTTTGATCGAACAGTTAATATTGTAAAATTGTTATGTACAATATAAGTAATATTTCCTACAAATAATTGTTCTTATTTTTTATTTGACAATTTTCCGATTTTATCTCGCACGAACCGAGAATGAGCATGAATGCATACTTAAACGAAGAGAGTGAAATAAGAAAAGAAGAAAAAATAACGACCGAGTGCGAATAGATGAAAGAGGATGAAAGGTTTGCAAGAGACGTAGACAACGTGTTAAGGTAAATCTAATTAATTATATTGCGTGGTACGAACAGAACTGTGATATTTTATTGTATAAAATTTACGAAGAACAAAATAGAAGACGGAGAACACTCGCTGCAAATACGAAGAATAACAAATCTCTAAAACGGATAAATATATTATATATATATATGATACTTATGGTAGAAAAAGCGCGCCGGACATTACTGTATTTTACAAAAAAGTGCATCCTTAAGCCGCGCGCATCGTCCCGAGTATCCCTTTTCGAACATTGAGACGCGCTTCTGTCGCGCAGAAGCTTCTTTACGAGGACGAAATCCAAAAAGATACGATATTTCTCGGAAGAAGATGCATGTCCTCTGTCCAGTCCATTCTCGATTGAAAAAGGAATACTCGGCGAACATCTTTTTTTTCGGGCCAATCGCGATGCCCTAGCGTCTAATCGTTTCCTGTTTGTAAAGTATATATATAGATATATGATATAGATATATTATATATATGAATTAAATGTTTGATAAGAAACAAACGATGAGCGAGAGAGTGAGAGAGAACGAGAGAGAAAGAGATAACCGAGCGACAGTAGAAATGAAGTATCATCGTTTTCACGACGTGTATATTCGAGAACGATTTTAAGAAGCACACACACACACACACATAACACACATGTACACGCAGTTTAAAATAGTTTCTAGAGTAAGTACCGACGTGCTACGTCTGTAAAAAGAAAAATATGAAAAAAGAAAGATCACATTTTTCGCGCTAACCGATCGTCCCTCGCCCGAAACCCATTGAATAAACTGGTGAAAGAATGTTGATGAAAATCGTGTTTCCTAATCCCTTGCCAATCGAGAACACCGCATCGGACAGATTTTTCAAACAGAATACAGGAAACGATGAATCTGTGATACTGCTGTAAAATGTTATGAATAGGGCGTCCTTGCCAAAAATTCAATTTCAGTCTTTGGACAATCGAGAAAGTTTCAAGCCATGTGAACAATTTCGAAATTATTGCAAAAGAATAGGGCACATCGTCGCAGCGTATGGCAGAGTCTCGATGTATTATCACCTTCGCACAGACTTTCACGCACGTTAATGGCGCTCCCTCGCCATTATAGCGCACAGAACCCACGCGTTCTATCGGTATACGGTGTATTTTCGTCTGTCGAATTTCTACGCGCTCAATTTCCATGCGTTAGATCTCCGCGCGTTGTCATCGCTATGCGTTACGCGATCTCTAACGACACGAGAGTCTATCGTGCAACTTTCAAAATTTGGGCAAAGCCTTTTCAATGGGATATTTATAACGTCTTACAGTGGTAAACTTCAGAAGATGGAAGAGAGTTCAATAAAAATTATTAAGAGAAGGAATATTATTAATAACGTAGACTGCGACCAATGAATTTGCTGCAATAAACATTTTTTATTCGCTTTAACGAGTTCGTTGAACATCGAGGAATATATCGCTGTAGACTTCTTTCGTTCTACGAATTATTGAAAACAGAAAATGAATTGAAAATTTTGTAGCATCAGTTTAATAATGTGCTCAGAAGGGCAAGAAAACCACTGAACGTGTTAATTCGTGGATACAACGAAACGATAGAAACGTGCGTTTTTCATTTTCTTTCAAACGTGGGCATCAGAAAAGGCACAAAAAAGGTACAAAAAGAGAAGTCGAAAAGAAACAATGGAAGGAAAAGCTCGTGTTCCTCGTGAAACAATCGAAATTCGCACAGGAGCCAGGTTCTTTCGCAAAGTTCCTTTAGAGACGATTTTCTCTACGAATACCGATCGAGAACGGAAAACGATAGTTCGTAGAAATAACGTATCGTTCTTGGTTCTCGATTGAAACTAACATCGCAAATATTGGAACGAATCTTGTGTATTTATAATCGACTTTCAGAACTTCTCGTGACCATTTCTTCTTGATTCCTTGCGTATCGCGCACAGACCGACCTTGTAAAACAGATCCCGCCCCCTCGTCGACATTAACTGTTCGTCCTTTTTAACAAATATAACAAAACTTACGTCTTACTAATCGAGAACGACGACCAGAAAGCCATCGCAGTCGATATGCAAAGAAGTAACGAAGTGTATCAATTTTATCGCGATTATATCTAAACATCTTTGCATTATCCATGAACACTGCCTTGGCATTCTGTGCTCGCAGAGTATTTCGTAAATCCTCACCAATATTTTTGTTTCAATTGTTTTCCAAATTACATTTTAGTTTCGTATTTGACGTTATAATATTTCGTTTCTTTTTGTACATTTATGCTAGATACTTTTTATATTTGCCTTTCGATCTATTTTCAGATAACAGCAAAGCGCGCTAAAATATTGAATTTTAGTTACTCGACAGATGGCGTAGTAATCGGAATTATTTTACAGCGACATCTTTGTAGAAGCGCGCGAAACTTGTACTCTCGAATACTGTCGGTATAATAGGAAGACGTGATTTATTGTATCGCGCATGCGCATAACGCGAGACATGTCAGAATCAGCTGATCGTGTGTGAGTGAAAAAAAAATGGCGACCGTACGGCTGTTTAATCCCGTTGTCAGATAACTGTCAAAAGAGGTCGAGCTTGCTGTTAGTCTACGTCGTTAATAATACTTCTTGCAAATGTGTACATAATTAGTCATAGTACGCGATGACATTTCACCAGGTCAGTTTAACGTTTTAACGCGTTGTTTCGTATAGCGTTCTTTGTTGGTCTTCCCTAACCTTGCTTTCCACATGCTGACAGTAAAGAATATTTAATTTTCAGTGGAGACGTTTTAATTTTTTCGATCTCAAGAAAGAAGTCGATGGCGGAGAAATTGCTAAGGCACTTGGAGTGAGTTGTTTTCAATTTGAATCTGTTACTTTCTAGAATGACGTTGTAGGTTAAGTTTTGTGTTCGATATAAATCGCACATATTTTGTTTGTTAGGATGCTCAAGTCACAGCAGCTACGAGCGGAAATGGCAATTTAGTTTTCGGTGATAATACAGGCAATGTGCATTTAGTGAGCAGGACTTACAACATTACCACTTTTCGAGCTTACGAAATCACGTTAACCTTAGCTCAACAAGTTCAACATTCCACGTTCCTGTTTACCATTGGTGTTAGTGGTATTTTAAATTTTTTATGAGCTTTTGTTTCCAAACTATTTGTTATTTTTGGCTAATGTATTTATTTAGGAGGATGAGCTGGGTTGTAATCCTACGATAAAAGTCTGGAATTTGGCTAAACCAGATAAACAAGGAAATCCAACATGTGTCAGAATAAGTAGAGCTATACCTAGCTACAGAGCTGTTCCTGCAACCACATTGTGCGTACATACTAGTCTTAATTTAATGGCCATTGGTTTTGGAGATGGCTCAATTATGCTTTATAGGTAGGTAGAAATTAATTAATAATTATTTTTTGACTATTATCGCAAATTTGTGATATGTAACGTTTGATTTTTAGAGGTGATTTGACCAGAGAAAGAAAAAATAAAATAAAAGTGCTGAAAGATACAAATCTTTCAATCACTGGCTTAGCAATAAGATCCACGAGCAAACAAACTCATTTGTTTGTTGCCACACCAAGCAGTGTTTTTCTTTATAATGTTACTGTTAAGGATAAAGAATTTAAATCGACCCTAGATACCATGATGGGATGTGCTAAAAAGTGTAGTGTCCTTGCAGACTCTGTGCAAGACAGTCACTTCATGATTGGCCATCATAAAGTAATAATCATAATGAGATTTCATGGTGACATACAGACTAAATGCATATCTGTTAATAAATTTGTATTATTTTAGGCAATTTATTGTTATACACCAGATGGTAAAGGCCCTTGTTATGCTGTAGGAGGTGAAAAAATAATGCTAGAATGGTTTAGAAGTTACTTAGTTATCATAGCAAAAGAAGATCCTGATGATACGAGAACGGCAACCACTATTTCTGCAAAACCAAGGCAATAACTTTGTACATAGAAATTTTTCCTATTAAGAATACGTTTTTAAAATTTGTTTATTTATAGTACTATAGAACCAATACCTCCAGGAGTAGATAAACACATAATCACGGTGCTGGATATCCAGAATAAATTCACCGTTTTCTCTGCGCCAATGTTATCCGTGCAAGCAGTGTTATCAGAATGGGGAGGTTTTTTTATACTCAGTGGCGACAGTAAACTGTACCACCTGGATGAAAAAGACTTGCAATCAAAATTAGCGTTACTTTTTAAAAAGAATTTATACGATGTGTCTATAAGGTAAATAATAGTTGTACACATCCAAAATTGTTATTGAATTGTTGCTTAATATTGTACTATTTTCAGAATAGCTAAAAATCAGCAATACGACGCTGAAGGTCTTGTCGATATATTTCGACAATACGGCGATCATTTGTACTCAAAAGGAGATCATAATGGAGCGATAGAACAATATATAAAAACTATTGGCAAATTGGAACCATCTTATGTAATCAGAAAATTCTTAGATTCTCAGCATATCGATAATTTAACCACTTATTTGCAAGCTTTACATAAAAACGGACAAGCAACGGAAGATCATACCACTTTATTATTAAACTGTTATACAAAATTGAATCAGACAGATAAATTGAAGGAATTCATCATGGTAAATAATCTTTGATTTAATTTCTTGGTAATAAATAGATCATGAATATATCTGTATCTTTTTAATTGATCATTTTAGACGAAAGACAGAGAGGTCGACTTTGACGTCGAAATTGCGATAAAAGTTTGTCGCCAAGCATCACCGGAAGATGCCTTACTTCTAGCACAAAAACACAATCGTCACGAATGGTATCTTCGTATTCAAATAGAAGATAAACATGAATATAAAAAAGCATTAGAATACATGGCAACTTTAGAGTTCGAAGAGGTATGTGTATATTTTGCAGTTCGTTGTACGAGATTAATTTTAATTACTTTCTTAGGCGGAATCTAACATGAAAAAATATGGTAATATACTCATAGAAAATGTGCCAAATGAATCTACACAATTTTTAAAAACATTATGTACCAAGTATAGACCTTCCAACAAGCCGCTCGTTGATCAGGTAAAGTTGGATAATCATTAATCAATAGATATAGAAATAATGCATTAGTCGCAATGAAATTAATATGAATTTGCGTAATTCAGGAAATGTTAGATGGTACCGTGGACCAATATTTTGATAAAGCTAATCCAGAAGATTTTATCCATCTGTTTTTAAACAATTCAGAACGTCTGGTAGAGTTCTTAGAACATCTGGTAAAAACAGATACCAAGTTAGTGTGTTAGTACAAATATTCAAAAGAAATATACATGAATGATTTGTATTCTATAACTTAAATGTGTTTATGCATAGATGGAGTACTCTAGTATATAACACATTGGTGGAACATTATCTTCATGTATGGTCAGCCTTAGATAACAATGTAACTAAAGTGCAATATGAACAGAAAATTATTCGATTGTTGCAAAGTTCGGAGGCGTGTTACGATAGAGACCAGATATTAATTTTATGTCATCAGCATAACTTCAGACGTGGTTTAATCTTTCTATACGAAGAAAGTAAATTGTATGTAGAATAGATTTATACCACCATTATTATATTCCTAAGTTTTATGTTTTATATTATATTGTCAATAGGTATCAGGAAATATTACGATTTCATTTACGGGAAGGTGACAGTGAGCAAGTTTTGGCTACTTGTAAACGATTTGGTCATCAAGATCCAAATTTATGGGTGCAAGCATTATGGAGTGTCGCGAGAAACAAAGATGCGCCAACGAAACTTCTTGCAGATATATTAGGCTACATAGGTATACTTCAAATTCAATCTAATTTACTCTTTATTTTTGTTACACATTGTCTCATGAAGGAAAAATACATTCATAGCACAAGAGAGACTTCTATCGCCACTAATGGTAATTGATGCAATTTCAACTTCGCTTTCTTGTACTCTGGGAGACGTGAGGACTTATTTAAATAGTGTGCTGCGACAGGAGCATGAACAGACACAGGCAGACATAGAATTAACCGATAAATATCGAGCAGATACTCAAAAAATACGAGAACAAATAGAATCGATTAAAAATAACACGATCATATTTCAAGGATCACGTTGCAGCGCATGTCGTGATCAGTTAGAATTACCATCAGTACACTTCATGTGTCAACATTCGTATCATCAACAGTAAGCTGACATTATATATCATGTTAGACATAAATATGTTATAACAAAATATTTTATCGTATCATTGTTTTGTCATGTTAGCTGCTTCCAAAGTTTTTCGGAAAATGAGAACGAATGCCCTGCTTGCTTGCCAAATAATAAGAAGTTATTAGACATTATTAGAGCACAAGAACAATCCAGAGATCTTCATGAAACATTTCACAGTCTTCTTGACCGAGCGGAAGATCCATTTTCTTTAGTAGCCGATTATTTTGGACGAGGTGTCTTCAAGAAATTAATGGTGATCACTGATGCCGATAAATCGTTGTCTGCAGCATCGATGAAATTCGAAGAATCTAAATTAAATTACGGACCAGGAGCAGAGGCCAGAATTAGATTAACAGAGGGAAAAAATACGTCACTAGGTAAAGGCAACTTTATTAAACAAAAATTTGTTTTAATTGAAACCCATCGTTTCCACGGAATTATTTCTGCAGCATTAGACGATCGTTTGCGTGCTTACCCAAAGTCGGATCTTTACTCTTCGTCGTTAGAAGCAAACATTTCTGGCACAGGTAGCGGTATATCTACTCCTCGAGTAAATTCAAGAAAAGCTTCGCCAGTGCCTATAAGAGAGGCGCGTATTTTAAATAATACAACGCCGAAATCATCACCGATACAAAAATCTTTCATACCGCCAAAAACACCTATCACGCCATCGAATCCATTCGAAAATGATGACTACGATGAATCGAAGAATCCATTTTTCGAAGACAAAGATGAAAATGATGATGACACATTTAAGGACGATGATGATGATTATAACAAAAATTTAAATCCTTTTGCTAGATAAAGTGAATTATATTCAGCCATTTCAGTTATTAAGTCCACAGATAAGTAGTAAGTGAATTATACGTTGTTACAGAAGATCACGAATTGTCGAGCCTTGTAAAAAGAACATCATAAACATTATTACTATACGCAGATAATTGTAAATTAATTTAAAAAATTCAGTTCAGCTTTGATCAGCGTATTCTTTCAGAACGATACAAAATTTATTCGTTAGCTTAAAATTGTGAATTGTAAATTATTTCTTCATTTTACATGTACATTTTATGGTGATCCCACATTTCGTACTTTACAGAATTTATAATGTAAAGCGTTAATGAAACGCGTTTTCTTTTTTTTAATTTTTTTTCCTTTTTTGTATATATTGATTTATATCATATTTCAAATCTTTATATAAACGTAAACAAAATATCTGGTAAATAATTTATTTAACAAGTATTATTATAAATCGCATTTTACAAAAAAAGATACATCTACCAAAGTAAGTGTTTTCCAAATATTAAGTAATAAACAACTTATACATAATAAAGCTCACAACCATTATACATGATCCAAAATATGTTTCCATTCAAATATCTTATCACTTACTCTAAAAGCATTCCAAATTTCAGTTGTTTCTGGAGTTCGTGGCTTTCTAGAAACAGAAGTGCAATATTCTTCTGTAGATACAGGTATAAAAAAGTCAGAAAGTATTGGCACAGCATCTTTTTGTCGTGGTTCTGGATCTTTACTACGAATTAATCTACATGGCAACTGACTTTCATCTATGGACAGATCTACTAAATTTTTATAAACAGCTTCATCAAGAGGAAAATCCAAAGCAGTAGAAATCTGAAAAAGAATATAACATTGTATTTTGTGACAACACATGAAAACAGTTTCTTTTCAATACCTTTCCATTTATGAAATGTTTGCACCAAACTGGCAAATGTTCAATATCAGTTGTAATTTTTTGCTTTTTCATTTCATTTAATTTATTAATTGTACACATGATTGAATTGTATTCTGGTTTTGCCAATTTTTCTCCAGAAGTACTTGGTTTCATAAAAGTTCTTTCATCAGTTTCTGGAGTTTTCAAATCATCATTCTTTTTACGCAATACTCCTGGACCAATGTAAGGTTTTATTTTGGGACCATCCACATCACGGATCACAGTCTTCTTGACAGGAGAGCTTTTTACTTTGGATGCAGCTTTAAGGTATTTGTGACATGGCATAACATTAGACTTTGTACTTAAATTTCTTTTGGATGCAGCTAATGTTTTACTCGTAGCATTTGCTTTTTTTGAAGTAGTTCTACTAGAACAAGATTTAGTTTTATGAGCTGTAATTTCTAAGTCTGAAAATTTTTTAGTCAAGTAATTATTTCCTTTATCATCCAACGTTTCATTTTCTTTTCCTTTCTTACTTTTTACATAACTTCTTGAAGCATTAGTTTTAACAAAATTTTGAGACTTCACAGTTTTATTCAAATTTTTATCTTGTTCAACTAAAGATACTGAAGAAGGTACTACATTATTGTGTGAACGTTTGTTAGAAATTTTTGGTTTAATATCTTTAGAATTTGCTTTGATGTTTTTAATATTTGTATTGTCACTTAAAGGTTTCTGATTCTCTATTTCTATAGGATTTTCATCAAGCGTATAAAGAGGAGGTGCGTTAGAACATACGGTTAACGAGTCATTCTTGCGTGTGCTATCAAAAGTTTTTAAATTCTTATCTTCTTTATTATTACATGATTTATTAGATTTTACTAATTTAACGGGTTTATCAAGTGTTACGATACTGATAATCCTCGGTTTATTCGATTGCCCAATATTTTTCTGATCTATCGTACGTTTTGATTCTCCCGCTGCCGATTCGTTAGTGTCAGTTTGGTAAAATCTGACTTTTGGTCTCACAAACAATTTTACATCATCGGTCATTGCGAACAATATCGTAAGACTTTCAAGTTTAACACGCTATGCATACAAAGACATTTACAGCAACTGTCATAAGAATTTCGGCAACATAACCTTCAAAATTAGATGTTCTGAAAACTGTCAGATAAGTGTCAAAATTTATGACAGTACTGCCAATTCCTTGTTAAAATTGTCACGTTTTTCCCTGGGATTACCCGATGTAGGAGTTACTTGTTGTAATAGGTTAGTCAGTGAAAAGACAATCGCACTTACCGCGTGTGTGTTATTGGTTAATAGTTACCTTATTGCATCGTCAATTGTTAAACAACGTTTCAAATTATTTATGACGGAAAATGAATTACATGCGAACATGGAACCGTACAAGGTAACTTACTCCCTCTTATTTGCATATAATTCCTATCTGTAAAATTAATTACTGAATAGTATTAGGTTAAATGTCATCATTATATCATGTAACAGTTTCATTTGTTAATAGAATCCTGATCTTCTACCATTAGAGGATTTAAAATTAAAAATACAAATCGGAGGAACGACTGAAACTGTTAATGCTTTGGTATGTTTACAGACAGTAATAATTTTCCGAAAATAATAGTTAATATAACATCAGTCTTTAATAATAGAAGACTTTCATATTTTTCGATTACATTTTCTTTTTATAGTAAAATTATAATTCATTTTCCTTCTTTACTAATTTTTCAGAGTAAAAGATGGGCAAGTGACCGTTACTTTTTACATTATGAAGCTCCGATTATATACGATGATGATGGGTCTGAGATTGTGGGAGCTAAAGAACATTGGATAAATGTTGTCAATTATATTATTAATGACTTGAAATGGTTACTTAGTCTTCCTTTCTACAAGTATATATAATTAATAAGTTTACGTCTTTGTCCATATTTATATTCATTATATATCATTATTATATATTTTGTTTAGATTCTGGTCAAACATTGTGTACAATACATCAGTCATGAATTCATTGGTATCTTTTTTACAAGAAGCTCCACCATTTTATGCTTTAGAAAATTTCCCAAATTATCCTGAAATGTTGAAACTGTTAGAAACACTACATTGTTATGTTCTTATGATTTTTGCAAGGCTCGTGACAAATAAGCAAAGTCATGAGGAATATATGAGCTGTCCATTTCTTGGAAATTTATTGTATGAGAACTACATATTTACTGTACCGATTATCTTAGATCTCTGTCAACTTTATGGCAGAGAAAATGATAAAGTAATTAGAAAAATTTTAAATTGTTTATTTACATTAGAACCACGGTACAATAATGATCTTCAAAAAGCTGTTCCTTGTTTTATTGAGGTGACATATTGTATATATAAACTAATTAATATTTTGTAAAAATAAAACTAAATATGAATATTGTCAGTTTAGGCTCTTGAAAATGTTGAAAGGAAATTTGGTAACTCTTCCATCGAGTATAACAATGAAGCAGTTTCATTGTCAAAAAGGAATACACATCCTCCAAAACTTACCTTGTTTAATTTAGAAGATTTGACATTATATGTGCTAGATATATCATCAACGGTTACTGTATTTCTAAAAAATTACCCTCCTGCAGTGGGTATATTTCACAAAAAGGATTTTATGAATAAGTAAGAAATTATTTATATTCTTATTGACCTGCTTTCATACATTATTTTTGTATTTATTTCTAACTGTTTAACAATAATTAGAATTGTTTCAATGTATGGGAGCACAATACCTGAAATGTATAAAACAATGGATAAACTAGCATATAATGAGGAGAATATGCCAAAATATGTGGAATTGAAACTTCGTTTGGATGTAACAAGGATTGAACTAATAAATCTGTATCGGGTTATTATATATGAACCTATATTGGACATACAAGAAAATGTGTAAGTAGAAAAATGTTTCAGTTAATAAAAAGTTTATTACATATTTTAATTAAACAAAAACATATAAACGTAATTATAAAATTATGTATAGAAATACAATTACGGAAACAGAGGTACATAAACGAGTGGATGACTATTGTATTCTTCTAAATGATGCCATTAGTGAAAAAGAATTCATTACAGATTACGATCGATTTTATCCCGTTCAAGTAGATTTAGAAACGTTATCAACTATTTATCCTGAATTGTATCCTTTTCTAATATGGTAGATTTAACAATGAATACAAGCATACATCTTTTCTTTACTTAACAAATATTTAGTGATGAAATGTACAAATATACATTAAACTCTGTCAATGTAGTTATTGGAAAATCAGCTACTTCATCTGTTACTTTTTCAAATAGTGTAAACGTAAGTTAAAGAATACAAATAAATGCTATTTCCATATAATATTTACTTATTTACTTTTTATAGGAAGCAGTAGCTGGACCTAGCGGTGTTTCGAAACAAGCAATAACATCTGCTAATACAAATTCATCAAATGAGAAACGAGTGTCGATGAAAAAAGATTCTATTCAAATAGTAACTCTAGTTTCTGAAGTTAAGGATATCTTGTGTGATCTAGATGAACGTTTCATCGAGGTAACGATTCCAGTACATTACAAATAATTAACACTTGCAGTACAAAAATACATTGAATATCCTTTACAGATGTGTTTAGACTATTACAATTATGATACTGCATCTGTGATAAATGCCGTATTAGAAGACTCATTACCCTCCAAGTTAAAGGAATGGAAAGATTTAACACCTCCCATGCCTAATTCAATTTACGATGTAAATAGATTTCGATTATTACAAAGATAAATTAGAATATTTTAAACAAAATAAATACAAATTTGTATCTTCTTTTTAGGACACTACGGTTAACAATGATCTTGCTTCTGAAATCAAAGATCTTCGTGTGTATGATAACTATGATTATGATGATGGTGATAATGTTCATGTTAAAATATCTGAAGTTGTTGAAGTACCAAAGGAGTACATTATTAGAAAGTAAGTGTTTCCGTGTAATGGAGATATATTTATTTGTAAATAATAATCATGTTGGATAACATTTATTACATTGTTTCAACTAATACAAAACATGTACAGTTACAGCCTTGCCTTAGACGAATACGACGATGAGTATGATGATACGTACGACAATCGTGACATACGTGGCAATGCGCAAGATGATTCCATTGAAATAGACTCAAGACCTTTTACTACACCAAGAGTTAGTATTTATAAATATCAATACATTTATTACTAAAAAGTTGTTAGTTATTTTTACAATAAGCAATAATTTTAGGTACTTCTTGGAAAAAAGAAGGTGGAAACTATAGAAGAATCAGAGTCAGAGGATGAAGAGGTGACAATGGAAAATGGAAAAGATGATTTTATACAAAATCCAGAAGAAGTACGAGCTAAAGCCGAACAACGAAGGCAAGCAATGCGAGGTGGAAAACACGCATTCAATGTAACTGGTAAGTTGTTTTAATTTGTATGCGGCATTCGCGTATTCTATGCAGTGTATAATGTTGCAAGTTGCATTTTGTTTTTTTTTTTTTTTTTTTAATATAAAAAATAAAATATGTTTGTATTATATATAGGTAAACCAAAAGGTAAAGGGCAAGATAAGGATGTCTTGTACAATAGACAACAGAAGAATGCCCATAAGTCAACAGGGGCTAATCATAATCGTCGTTCTGGTGCCCAATGGAAACGAAATCATGGAATGATTCCATCTTAAACTTACTTATACTTTTACAATATCAGTGTAAATACTGCCATGTGATAAATACATTCGTACCCACTCCTCCGTAACATCTGAACCTTACATTATCATCATATTGAATTATTTGCTGTTAACGATTCTCACGACCTTCAATGATCTTTAACGATGGTAAGAGCTCTTATTCTATTCATATGATTGGACATTGCTCGTTGATATTCATCTTCAGGTATCATAGCACTAGAGGGCGATTCTGAAGCATTTGGAACTGGCATTAAATGTGTAAATAGCCGTGTCGTATTTCCATAGTAATCTAACTGTATCATGATCAAAGCGTGTACACTAGGCTTGATATATTCTAGTCTCTTTTCTAAAAACAAGGGTAGTTCTATGAGTAATTGAGCATGTACAGTCTTCAAGTCCTTGGCAGCTGCTTCTTCTGTTCTACGCTCTCTCTCCAATTTTGCAATATGACTAGCAGTTCTGTCTTTTTTCTCTTGTAACTTTTTAACCCGATTATAAGAGTATTTCCAAGTAGTAACCAACTCTTCTCGTTTTGCTATTGCTGCAGCGATTAGAACAAACTCGTCTCGTAATTTTTTTAAGGGCTCTATAAAAGTTTTCTGACAAAGCGCTGCCATATCTTGCACAGTTTTCCCAATCTGTTATGAATATAACAATTCTCATTGTGCTTAAAGTTAATAGAAAATATTCTTATAAATGTACCTGTGTTGTAACCGAATGATAATCTTCCACCACTTTCCTAAATTCATTACTAAGGTGTGCCAAGCCACAGGTTGTTAAATTTAGCGTTAATCTTTGATCTGCCCGATCCAAATTTACTACAGCCTCTATGTACCTCTTCATCTCTTTAGTTAGCTTTCTGATTGTGTCTTCAACACTTAAATAATGATCAATTGGAAAAATATAATAATTACTGTATATACAAATTCTTTTTAGAAACATTTTGCATAAGATAGATAACAATTACATACTAAATAAGTTTTTGAACCGCAACATCAAGCTCTCTATCCTCTGTATGAGATAACAGAGGTGATGCTGGTGTTGGTCTCAATGTCAGATGATTTTTCTTTAAAGGATTCCTATATAAATTAAACGTTCATAAGAATTGTCAAGTTAACCTTTCAGGTTACCAAGTTGTATTACGCAGTGTTAAATACTTACCACGTCATTTTCTTTCTATAAATTAGAACATAATATAGCTTTCATTCTTCGTTTTAAGTTAGTGTAGATATAAAAATGATCACAATTAAGAAAACATTACACTGGTTTCTATTTGCAACATTTCAAAATCGTTCTTATTATAATTCAAAAAAATTTAATTTTGAGATAACGCGATTAATATACTCGTTTTATTGACTTACGTAATACATATGTAAACATGTTATATATTTTTATGAACGTTTTAGATACCTGAGTCTTGGAAGTATTTAATTCGATATTTTCTAACCTCTAGTAATTCACGTAGCTAAAGATAATATTATACGTGTGTATATATATATATATATATATATATATATATATTTTTGCACTATTGTATCATATACATGTTTTTATGTACATGCCTTTAATATTTTGGTTTCAAAGATGTATTAAAATTGAGTACATAATTTAATTCTGTTTAAACAATGTTTATTATTTTGCTTCTGTACAAACACATCTTACAAAATGTTATTGGCTCAATAAATTTGTGTACTTAAATTATCTTAAACCTATGTGTCAAGTTTACAAAATAAATAGCTATTTAATGATCTATTATAATCAATTCATCAATTCCCCAATCTTCATAACTGTTATCAGGTAAATAACGCCTAATAACAATTGGAATTTTTCTCTGTTTAAGTTCTTTCATTGCAATTTGTAATGGATCTGTTTCTCCTTCTAATTCCACCATTACAGGAGCACACATAGCTATTTGTAATGCTCTCGTTCCTAACACCCTTGCCCTTTCATATCTAAAAAGTAAAATATTTACATTAATGAAGATTGGAGAAAAATCATTGTATAAAAGTCTATGTTAATCAATACCTACTTTGTCATATACCTCGTTGTAATTCTTTTTGATCTTTGTACTCCACCTGTGGCTTCCCCGGCTGCTATTAACTCTATATTTTCACCATCTTCTTCCTGAGGTTCTAATTCAATGTTATCATCGTCATCAACATCATCAAAGTCATCCGCAACTCTTAAATAATTGCAATCAATTATATTAGGTCATGTTAAATATAGAAAAGTGTTAAAACAACATTATCAGTGTAAATATATAGTAGTTTGATTATCAATTATTTTATATTGTTTAAAAATTCAGGAGTCTAACAAAAGTTAACCTAAAATAGTTCAATATTTAAGATTGTTCAAATAAATTTCTTACTCGTCGCCATCAAAATCATCATCTGCCATGATTTCTTATTAAATTAACGTTGTCAATATAATTTTAATTTCCACAATCGTTTCCTTTACAGTGCTGTAAGCCGCCAATAAAGGACGCAAAATGTGAACAATATTTACAAAGCACGACAAGCAACACTAACAGAAAGACTGACACTACATCTTCGTCAAAATCACTAGGAGAAGCCGCAAAAATTGATCTTGGTAATTATTTTACGATCATTTATATTCACGTACAAATAATTATATCTTGTACATTTTAATCACGTATAATATCTTTTTTGTTACAGTTTGCAACTTATTTACATTCAGTGCAACGAGTCTTCAATATACATTGCCATAAGCAAAAACAGTTCACCACATCTTATGAATAACAACATTAATTTTAGTTGAATAATTGTACAAAATATATACTACAAACTTAGTAATTAAGAACGTACATTGTTAAATTGCATCAGTACGTGTATTACGATACGCAGAAATGTAATTATGGCTGTATCAATCAAATTTATTGAATAAATTTTATTTCAAAGGTTTAAATAATTGTATCGTTATTTATCCTTATTCCTCAGTATCCTCACATCCTAATAGCGATTAACATTATTCTCCGACACAATTGGACATATATTTCTTATTGGCTATCAAGCCGAAAACAATTTTAGTAGAATAGTATAACTATTATCACATAGTTGTTAATTACGCTACCAGCGCCATCTCACGGTTGGTATTTCGAAACACAGCCTGATAGAAAGATCACAGAAAAGCAGAAGAGGTATACGGAATAGTGGGTTGCCCGCTAAGGGGCAGGTAAACAGTTGTAGACTAGCAGCTCCGCCCACCCAACAGGAGGCGGAGCTCCCCGCGTTGCCAGAGAGGAGTGGCTCCGCCCACCCAACAGGAGGTGGAGCCACCTGCGTAGTCAGAGAGGAGGGGCTCCGCCCATCTAGCATGGCGTCGCGCATGCGCAGTAGACCTGGCGTGCGTACCCCCAACCAATATGGCTCGCGTATGCGCAATAACACCATCACGTGATTGCTTACTCAATATGGTCGCGAATAGGCAAAATAAATAACAATACTAACATAGAAGAGAAATTTGTTATTCATTTTCGGAATACAATTTATGAACATTTATAACTGAAGAATAATTAGAGACATAATATACGAGATTTCCAAATGTGGAATTGTGTACCAGGTGAACATAACATTCAAGAAGGTGGCATGTAGATGCGAAAATTCGAGTTTGAAATTTGGTATCAGGAGAACATGAGTTCCGAAGAGGTGACATGAATGCTTTTTTCGGAATTTTTATGGCATCATTTCCAAAAATTGCCGAGGTAAATTTGTAAAAATCGGATTACCGATTTGGTATCAGGAGAACATGAGTTATCAGGAGGTATCCTTCGTGCCACTTCTTAGAATTTTGCTAACGTCATTTCCAAGAATTTCTGAGGGGCGATTTTTGAAAATTTGTATTAGGAGAACATAAGTTATGAGGAGGTATCCTTCGTGCCACTTCTTGGAATTTTGATGACGTCGTTTCCAAGAATTTCTGAGGGGCGATTTTTGAAAATTTGTATCAGGAGAACATAAGATGCGAGGAGGTATTCGTGCCACTTCTTGGAATTTTGATGACGTCAATTTCCAAGAATTCCCGGGCGGGATTTTTGAAAATCCACCGACCGATTTTCAGAATTTGTATCAGGAGAACATAAGTTGTGAGGAGGTATTCGTGCCACTTCTTGGAATTTTGATGACGTCAAATTCCAAGAATTCTCGGGCGGGATTTTTGAAATTCCACCGATTTTGAGAATTTGTATCAGGAGAACATAAGTTGTGAGGAGGTATCCTTCGTGCCACTTCCTGGAACT